AAATTGCTTGAAAGCCTCGGCCAGACCTCCGTTCACCTCATTATAATAGGGCAGCTCTTTCTTAAGGCCCTCGTAATACTTGACAACATTTGGCACTTCTTTCAACTCCTTGTTTTCAGTGGCGAAGAGCACCGATAGGGTGGCCACGAGGGACAGGTCGGCGATTGTGAGCGCACTTCCGGCCGCGTACTTGTTATGACCGATCAATTGATCCAATGTTTTCAAATTGCTTTGAAATGATTTCACTTGGGCTTCGGTGGGTTCAGTGCCTCGGAATAGTTTCATTGTCTGCATAAATAATACATTTGATGAGTATTGTTGATAATTGGGTTATATATGCATTGAGACTCACGACTGCAGTACTGACGGATGAATTCAAAGACATATCAAAGTTAAGGGTTCGGTCGACAACCGCACGCTTTTGCAGATCAGTCGGGTATAGGGAAGTGTTGGCCCCGTATTTGCTGCTCAGGTATTGCAGAATAGCTCTGCTCTCCCACAGAGCAAAACCATCGTCCACCAGAGTGGGCACAGTATGAACTGGGTTAATCTGCAAAATTAATTTTTATATTAATAAAAGTCAAATATTTATAGTGCGATGGAGTGGACATACCTTAAGATATTCAGGCGTTAAATGTTCGCCTTTTCTCAAATCAATTTGTTTGATATTAACCGTAAGATTCAATTGTTTGACTGCCATTAGGACTGCCCGACAGGGAGGGCTCAAATTCATGACATATAAATCAATAGTCATTTTGATGAATTAAATTTAAAAGTGTTTTAAACACAAAAATAAATCACAGAATACTTAAAACTTTGTAAAAAGTTTAACCTAATGGACCAAACAAAGTGGTAATGAATTAACAAACAGTCGGTTGCACCTATTTATACAAATGTGCGATTCAGTACCGATGCTACCAATCATTTCTGACTGATTGCATGAATGTGAACTAAACCCTGTCAAACCTGTACATAATTGTACTAGTACAGCATAGCGATTCATATTTTTGCACTAAAGAATTGCCGGTTTTAGTGCAAAATAACTGATTTGAAATGACAGCAAATCTTAAGTTACTGTACATTTGCTACAAATTTATAGACTCAATACATGAAGTGATATTACATGTTATGTTAGTCTGGATCTGAAGGACGAAAAGTCTGAATATTATCTGTGAAAATATGGGTGTTTAGGAGATAAACAAAAATGTTTTATCAATTTATGCACTAAAATATAACGACAATTAAAAAGATGTCTTACTTTTGAAATTTCCTATTCATATCAATTAGTAACCTCATATTGTTTGAAAAACTTATATTATATATTATTATAACTTAATACAATAGTAATTTTACTATAGATTGTATTGTATCCTGTTAACTTGTAAAATTTTGAGTTACTGTTACTAGTGTTAATATTTAAAATAAAATATTTGTCAATAAATTATTGATGTTTAATTCAGTATTTTTACTTGAGAAATATTTATTTGATTTTATTATTAAATTATTTTTAAAAATTCTGATAAACCAAAATGTATAATTAAAAATATTTAATAATAATTATAAATATATAACATTGAGTTATAAATTGATTTTAAATCTACTAATCAATGTTTTTAACGTTTTGTTAATAAATTAATGTTTGATATGTTTTTAATACATTTTCCACATAGTAATTTAATAACTATTTACTTTAATAATTATTTACAATTATTGTTTTACCAATGATTTTATAGTATAATAATCTAACGAGTAAAATCTTAATGACTTATTGAAATATGTTAGCTTGATTCAATATTTGTGTTTATATTAATTACAGTAACAATTTACTACCATCAAGAACCTAAACTAGTAAATTATATTTTCAGTACAAGTTATTTTGGCACTTATGTTTAAAATAATTAAATAACACTTAAAATGAATAACCAGATGTCTGTATAGGATTTTTATCATTAGTTAAATATAAACATTATCATTATCAATTTGAGTACATTTTCAAGTTATAAATCTCCGTAAATCTACGTTGCTTACTAAACTTAATAAATTAATTTCAATGAAATTTCATTGGGCTATCCCTTTATATTTATTAAATTATCATTTAAATCAACGTTTGTATCAGAAATAACAGATAATTTAAGCATTAACTAATACAACAAAATGTTTAATAACTTGAAAATTCAAGGAACTAAAATTTACGAATAGCTAATAAATTATTAAAACTTTAGGTGATTTTAATTTACCAATAAGTAGTTAGATTCATAAAGTCATTAAATTTAATACCAGACTCATCTCAAAGATGGAGAGAGAAAACGGTTAAGATTTAAATTTACTTTAATAGTTATTATCTATAATTTATTATATTAATAAGCGATTTAAAGTACTTTTATCGATATTAATACTAAATTTATTCTTATAAATAAAAAGTTATCCACACAAAATCAAATTTAATAAAAACATAAATTTTGTTTTAGCACTCATTGAGCTGTCAATTGAATTGAATGACAACTTTAGATATAAATATTTTAAGTTACTAAATCAAACCAAAACGTAGAGTAAATAACCATAGACTACATATTATATACCGTATAGATAGGTATTTAACATTTTAACAATTTAAAATTTAATCTGCAACAATTGAGTGATTGCTTTGTTTAATGATTTTTTACTTAATTAATATTATGTAAGAATTAACAAATCATTTACTGGTCTGAAGGTCGACAAATAATTTAATTAATTTAATTATACCTTTATGATTTAATAAAAATTAATTTATTTTTAAGAAAACTGTAAAATATTGAATACACGTACGACATAATTTGTATTAAATCATGTAAAACTCTTATTAAAATAATAACAAACTCATTTATATTAATTTAATTTCATATTCAATACTGTGTCAAAAGCTACATAATTCGTAATTCGTTATAATAATACGTATTACTATACTTTTTGATATTAATCCGCAAACTCAACACCAGATAAACAAATATTTTATTTTATTTGTTTATCAAATAAGGTTTTCCCCAAAGAAATACATTGTGAAATATTTAATGTTTACAGATTTATATCAAATAAAAACTACAGTATACTATATCTAATCAAACAATTAACATGTAATGACAGACCTTTATCATAAATTCAATAAAACTGTATGTGCTGTAATTAATTTTTAAATTAAAACAAATTAAATAAATCTAAAAAACTAAATTTGAACCAAATATTTAATTCCTTAATTAAAACTGTAGATTTTCATTGACTAAATTTCAAATTAAAAATATTATTTATATGAGAGGACATTACTATAAGGATAAACATTTCCACAGAATTTGCTTCAATATATGGAAAATTTTTTATTTCCTTTTATCAACAAGAAAAGTGAAAATTGAAAAGTGTCATATTTTATCCTTCAATTTATGAATCTGATATTAAATGGCAATGAATTAACACTTAAATTAGTACCATTTATCAAAATTGGTATTTCGCAGCGTAAAATCTATCGTGAATATCAAAATAAAACACATTTACTATAGTTTACGGTATATCGTGGTGAAAAAATACTGACATTAAGCATTGTTTGTATTATATTTAAGTTATATAAAATTTGGGGAAAACATAAAAATTGGATAAAGAATTACATTAAGAAGAATCGTTTGTACGGTTCAGTATCGCGTGGAAAGTAAAAGTAGTTTTCCTTGACTTTGAACCTGTTTTGCCAAACATTAAAAACATTCAGAATCTGACTTTAATAATTAGGGGGTACTAAGAAATAAGGCTATAGACTGTTTTCAAAACAAATGGTGTTTTTCTGAGCACAACATATTAGTAGATCAGTAGTGAAGGGATCAAAGAATTGCTAATTATATGCATAAGGAGTCGATATATTCTTCCATAGGTTTGCCTATCGATTGCTATCAGTTGTGGGCTTTAAATAGTTTTCAACCNAACAAATGGTGTTTTTCTGAGCACAACATATTAGTAGATCAGTAGTGAAGGGATCAAAGAATTGCTAATTATATGCATAAGGAGTCGATATATTCTTCCATAGGTTTGCCTATCGATTGCTATCAGTTGTGGGCTTTAAATAGTTTTCAACCGGTTTTCGAAACAACAAAAGCGTTTTCGGAGAGAAAACTATTTGTAAATAAATTTCTCATTTGCAGGGATGAAAAAAGACGAAATTAAAAGTCTTTCATAAGTTTGAGTATTTCAGAAAAACCTTGTGATGTAATGTGAGCCCATGTCTTGTAATATCGTCACTAAATAACATCACTTATAGGTAGAGAAACATTGGACCTCTTCTTGTATTATCGCCACAAAAGTTATTATCAAAACACTTGTTATTATAAATAATAATCAAAAAGTGCATTTATAATCGTAAACAGCAATTGCATTGTTTGCCTAAAAGGAAAATATTAAAAATAATTTTCCGAAAAATAGACATTCAATCGTATGTTCACGTCATTTAGAAACTATAGATATTTGGATTTTTATTTATTTTATTTCATCGTTATTCTCATTGTGTAACTCATTTTCGCATCGATTTTATGTTTTTTAATACCATTTGTGAAGCAATTCTCATAATATTCTGTGCATTTAATTCACACCAACACTTTTATTTGAACACTTTTTTGCCTCAAACATCACTTACTGTGCGAAAAGTCATACCAATTAAAATATAAGAGGAAAATCAATTCGTGGGATCCATTGATAGGAATGCCTAACACAACAACCAATCAGTTAGAAGTGGACGACATATACGCGATCGGGGAGGAGAGGTCCCGGCGCCGGTCGTCCACCAAAGAGCCCATAGTCTACACGAATAAAGCGATCCAGAAGTTCGCCGAAGCGATCACTGCTATGAATGAAGCAGTTTTGTTGCCCTCGAAGTTACGGGACATTCAGATCACAGAATCGGAACTCACGGCAGAGGCCATCGACTTGGATATGGCGCCCAAATCAGACCTCTTCCAGTACTACACGATGCTTAACACCGTTAAGGACGACCTCTTCAACGGCCTGTCCACCACTGGCGAGGAATTCATACTGAATGGCAACCATATTAACAGTCATAGCAATAGTAACAGTAATCATAATAATAATAATAATCGATGGGATCGACAGCAGTCTGACGACGCGTTCAACTCATTGACCAGTTTGTCGAGTTTGTCCGTACAGTTGGATTCAGAGCCCCTGTCTTTCGAGGACAGGGCCAACCAATTGATGTCAGTGTTTATGCAACACTTGCAGTCCTTGTATGGCATTCTTCAGCATTTTAGCAGAGCTGCTGAGTATATAACCAAACGATACCAACAAGAGATCGATAGCACGGATGACAAGTGAGCCCTCACTTCAACCAACGACTCCTTTGCCACCACTTCTGTCCAAACGATTCTGTTCTGTGTTTTGGATTTGATTTGATTTGAAAATTTAGTTTCTATTTGTTTCCTAAATCATTATTTTTGTTTTGTTACCTTTTTGTAAACTTAGTTTTGTTACTTAGTTTTTAAGTGCTTGGATGTGATTTATTTGATATTTGTTTATAACTTATACTGTATACTGTATTTTGTAGATTGTGTGCCCACCACTTGTAATAATTTTTATATTATTTATTAAATTATTTTCTAATAAAATGTCAAAAATAAAACACTTTGACTATCAGTAAGTCTTTTATTTGTTACTATAATATTACTATTACTGGAGTATGATATATGTTAGAGAGTGAGTGAGTGTGTGTGAGAGAGAGAAAGAGAGAGAGAGAGAGAGAGAGA